CTTCCTCGAGAGCGATGGTATGGTCTAATAATATCATCGCCATGGGGATAATTTTTTTAATGGAGTTATATTTCGTGAGTATCTTTAAAAAATAATATCATTTTTCGGATTAATGAAATATTGGAGTTATATTTCGTGAGTATCTTTAAAAAATAATATCATTTTTCGGATTAATGAAATATTTTTTATAAGAATATATATATATTTGAATATGAATGTTAGCGCTCGTGGCGAAGTTGCGCAGTGTACTGACGAGCAACCGCGTGCCGTTTTTCTGGGCCGTGTCGGCGGCGAGCCTCCAAATCAGCATGGACCAAGCGGCGCTGGACAGGTCCAACCTCCGCCTGCTGCCGTGTGTGATCCAGTCGGTGCTCAAGTTCCCGGCGATCGCATCGTTCGTGCGGCAGACCCACTCGACCCTTCGCGTGCACTTTGAAGTGATCGACCGGCCCATGAGTCTGTGGATGTCTTGGAGTGAGTTCAAGTCGTGTTTGGCGGGGCTTCAAAATGCCTACACGTTCGTGCAACTGCTGCCCCAGGGGGATACCTTCCACACACCCCACGACGAAGGAGGTGGGTGGATGCTTTGCACTTACATGTTGAAATACTATTTTGATGTTGTCGTATTCAACTCGAAATATGGGGGGATGTGTAGGGGGATGCACTCCGCAGTGGAATTTCTCGACAAAAATCTCGGTGGACGAACCCAAAGAGTGCATCCATCGATCAGACCGACCGGTCGTGTATGTAGACACGCAGCCAATCCTCGGGAAACCCGACAGCACGGGCGAAAACTTGATTCCATTCACGACGTTGCCCAAGCTAATTCCTGCAACGAGGTAGTTGCTGTCGTAGTTGCTAACAATTAGGCCGATGGGATGACCCGTGGGTGACGTAGCAAAACCAAATCGACCACCAAGAACCAACCGACGCGGTTGCATTTTGTCGTGTTGAGTGTCCGGCGAACTGTTCCAAAGACCAGCGACAAGCCAACGCTATATTGCACAGCGTACGACCCTATCACAGCCAGCGATTACGAAGTCGTGGGCACCCCCACCAATTGGTATATATATTGTATACATAAGAATATATATATATATATATTATTCACAATATCGGGCCCATCACCTTGATGAATGTGCAGGCCGGTGAACTTCTTCGACCCAGACGTGAACAAAAACTTTGAAGCAGAATGGCTGGCCATGTTGCAACACTTGAAATTAGGGCGCACCATCACCCCCAAGCTGTTGATTCGAGTGTACGTGCCAATATATAATATATTGCTCGTCTATATATATATATTCGTCTCAATGCGTTTTCATTGTAGGTACAACAAACAACCTCGAAGTGACCAATTGATTGGAGAAACGGAAGTGTCGGTGGCGTCCATGATGGCGCGCGAAGGGTACGGGATCGAGTCGTGGTTTTCCATTTACCATCCCGTGTCCGAAGTACGTGGCACGCTCCTGTGGATCGATGTCAAATTGTCGTTTAGAAATGCACCGGTCAAATTGAATTGCACGCGCACTTTCAAATTCGAACCACGGGCCAAGGACACCATGCAGACCCAACAACGGTATTGTTGCCAAGTGTAAACTCCAAGACATCAACTTTGCCCATTGTCGTCCCATCCAAGCAACCCAAACAGCCGAACGTTGTCGAGGATCGAACGACAAAGCCACTTCAGCCATCATCCATTGAGCATCACCACTCGAGTGAACTCGTTCTAAAAGATCGCATCCAAGAGCTCGAAAGAAAGACCCTAGACCTAGAAGCCACCGTCGCGGCGTCGGACACTGCCAAGTGGAAGCGAAAGTACGACCAGCTCAAACACCAAGTGGCCGAAACCCAAGCGCAGTCGGAGAAAAAGCACGTCTTACGATACAGCATACATATATCTCTCCCAACATCCGCTTACACTTTAAGCTGTAGAGTGCAAGGGCTCAAGGACGAGCTCGTGGCCCTCCACCTCAAGGCGTCCAACCCGCTGGACGTGCAAGACTTCGCAGCGCCTGCCACGTTGGCTGCGATCAAGGCAATTTTGAACGCAAGGTGCCCCGAACGCCCGTATAACGGACTCAAAAAAGCTATGGCGGCAGTTGCCGACTCCCCTGGAAAGGTGCGCTGCGACTGTCAAAAGCGTACCGTGTTCGAAACAATGGTGTGTGGATAGATTTCAATTGTCTCGTGTGAAGAAGTGCTCGATGATTTTGGATTGGCCCTCAATGCGACCCAAAAGCGCAATCTGTTTCGCAGTTTGGATCCTGATACCATTGGCATCCTCTCCATCGAAGGTACCGTGTGTAGTGTTGGTTAATGGATGGCAATATATATATATATAATCTTGTGGTAGATTTCTTGCTGAAATTGAATGGGGACATGACGCGGTCCTTATCCAAGCCCAAGATGGACACTGCTACCCCGCAACCAACACCCATAGCGCCAATACCCCGGCATGCATCGGTATGGAGATGTCGACTTGCAAAATAATATTTATATATATTTTTCATTACATTATATTAGATGGCCATCTCAAAGTCCAAAGACATGCTGCCCAAGCTGAACTCGTTACAGTCCACGACACATGACCTTCCAGCCGAGGAATCGAAGGCCAAGGGGACTCCATCACCTGTAACCAACACTCACGTTTCTTTATATTCAATGCATGTCGATGTAACGAGCAACTACTATAGAGCAACAACGATGGCCGCAAAGTTCCTTCTAAGGAAATCGAAAACGTATATATATATATATATTCCAGTCTTATTCCTCTTTGACTAGAATCGACGAGACGTGCCAAGTAGTGGCACTGGCAACATCCCCGATGAGGTTTCTACAGCATCCTTCATATTATATTCAACTGAGCATATTCGTTAAATGTCAGGAGAAGGCTACCACCAATTTAGATTTAAAGTCACTTGCTGAGGTAAATAATACTACGCGTTTTCGTGATTTCATGTGACAACGTTCGTAGGAACCGAGTAAGAACAAGGCTACAACACGACAAGAAGAGGCACCCCGAGTTTCCACGAGCGCCACAGACGCTGTGCGTCCGCAGGACACTACTAAAAGCCACAAAGAAATGGCTGATCACGCTCTCCAGTCCGCCAAACCGGTACTAGTACGAAGGAAGGCTGTTAAGTCACTTGACACATTTCCAAGGCGACGAGTAAAGTGGACATGCCAATGGACACTGCAAAACGAACAGGGGGGCCCATCCAACGAAGTCCGGTGACTGAAAAGCCGACGCAGGCAAAGGTAGAAGGGGAGTTTTCATTTGGGAGGTAGAGCTAACCAAGACGATCAGGGCAAAGCTGTGGCCGTCTCGAATCTAAGCACCCCCGTAGGACTTCTTGATGTCCTTGATGGAGGTTTGCTCAAGATCAAGGTGTTGATAGGTACTACATTTTACCAACCATACCGACTTGCACAAGTATTTGGCGGCGACATTGCCGGAGAAGTGGGATATGCAACTGACCCCCAAGGGCAAACCGTACTTTCGCAACTTCACAACAAGGTACGAAACGTTTGCCCTGTTGGTAGAGTCATACAGCGTTCGGTTTTTACTAGATCCACGCAATGGAACCATCCTGTGGCCGATGTGGACGCCGTCTACAGGGACTATCTACTGCACAAGAAAGGTGGGAGCGCGAAATAAGTCGGACGAACAACACTGTATTCTGGACACACAATATGAAATTGTCCGTTCATGTTAACGCATCAAGTGCTGTTGGAGTCTGGCATCGACCGCCTACTTGACTGCCTTGGCGCACACAAAACGAGGGGTGTCAGCCCCACAGACCGCATGCAGAATGATGTTCCAGCTCGGCGTGACCTCTGACGGCTTCGGAAAGTGTGGGTCGTACCACTTGCCTCGAATTTTCCCCTTCTTGACGTGGAAATCGCCCAACTTGCCTGACAAGTCGCCCTTCTCACACGCTTTCGGGTTGGCTTTGTACGTGTGCGGCGTGCACTTGTAGTGAGGCGTCAAAGCCTTGCACTTGGCTTCCGTCACGTGTTCCGACGCAGGTCCGCACGCATAATCGGGGTCATAATGGTTGGATGTCTTGGCCAGCGAACAAGCAGACAGGGAGCCCGACGACGTTGGGTTTTCCCATTTGGTGTGAATGTGCCACTTGAACTGCTTGATCGGACCAACGCATTTGGCATCTGATTTATGCAAGGCATCTCCCTGAGCGTGCTTGACGTCCAGGTTGGCCACGATGACCGCGCCGACGTACTTGGAATGCCGGTACAAGTAGCGGACTCGGATGAAGCCCTTGACTCCACCGGCAGTCTTCGGGTGATACACGAAAGTCATCGTGTTTTTCTGGTGGCCCACACACATCGCCATCGTGGCGAAGAGGAGCACGAGCAGGGTGAGTGTGTTCATGAGGGCGAGCAAGTTGAACAATGCGATCTTGGTGTTTGTTGCCTTTTGGCGAAAATGACTACCAACGACAACTTGGATTTGATTGGCTGGTTCGTATTACGATTGACTGCAACAGCCTATCAAAACTCGGACTGACCAATCACGGTTGCTCGAACCTTTACATACTGGTGATTACGGTGCTGGAAGTCGCGATACAACGGCGGTGGCTAAGCTTAGTCCGAGCCCATCGCTCGTGTGTGACACTGCATAGAATACGTATAGTAAAGGATCTCTCGCCAGTACCTAGGCCTCGTAACCATCGGAAGCCAAACTCTCACAGGGAAGGCGCTGGTTCCATTACTGTACCGATGCCAGGACTTCCTATCCTTAACATTACGAAGTACACGTCAATGACGAGAGATAGTCCTCTAGATGATGAGAATCGTAATGGTTGGCCGCAACGCTGCGTGAAATTTCAGGGCGTTGGGCATTCCGCGTCATTTGTGTTGCACCAAGTCCCCAATTCATGTCTTGAAAGGGCGATATCCGGATACATATTTTCCGGATAACGTTTTCAAAAGTTGCGCGCGCATTTGAGAATTTGCCATGGTGAAGCGACGACGCGGTGGGGGCAGAATGCATCTCATCAAGCACGACGGAAGGACAAGCACCGAGAACACGGATTGCTCCAGCAATGCCAGCGGCGATCAAAGCGATAACGAGGTGTTGGACACCCGGGAACCAGTCCCCAAACGGATGAAGATCATGCCCAAGACACTCGATTGCTCGACACGCCGTCTCGACGACATGCTTTCAAGCGATGGGATGGAGTCGGCTATCGATTTCTTGCTTGAAATCCGCCGCACGAAGAAAGTAGATTTGGCGAACTGGAGCAGACACTCGCACGATGGCATCCACGTTCTTGTTACGACAATTGTCGACACGAATCGCTTTCTGATTCAGCAGTGCATGTTTACGGCACTGTGTTGCATCCTTGGGGCAATTGCAAAGCATCAGTATCAACGGGAACTGGATGCAGTGTATGGCTTGTTGCCACCAATCTTGTTTGAGGTTTTGCCGCTGGAGTGCGCTACCCAACCTGTACGTGATGTATCTTTCCCATGTAAATGCACTTCTATTTAATGTAGGTCGATGCCATAACGATTCGAAGACGACTAAATAAGCTTAATCGGTCATTGAGGAAGATTTGGTCGTTCCGAATTACGAAATGCTGGGTTCAAGAAGGGCAAGAAGCACCGGTGCGTTTCTAGTACCATTTCCAATTGGATATCTGATGGTTTCACTCGTAGCAGCGCGTAAAGACCGAGGGATGGGTGGACCTGGGTGGGAATACCATGTCGCTTTGCCGAGACGACGAAGCCCTTGGGGTTATATCCGTCTCTATCAACGACATTTGCGACATCCGTTTCAACTCAAAGCAATGCTTTGGACGACTGTACTTTCAACACAATGCCATCCACTCGATTGGCTTGACGCTGGATTCCTCCGTATTTTGCTTTCCTCGATGTTTAGTTTTATGCCCTTGACAAAACCTTCCTTAGCACTTTACGACATTCCGAAGGAAGATCCAAGACACTTTTCTTGTGGCAACTCGTCAAGAAATGACTTCAGATGAGGTGGGCACTACATACACCGATTGAATGACGATGAAGCCGTTATTGCATTATTATAGAAGGTGTCGGTGACGTCGAGAAGAGTCATCCCGCAGCACGCCCAACTTGATGCAAATTTGGAAAGCACCGACGGTCAGACTTCAGACGAGGGGCCCTGCATACTCGTCGAAAGCATGCGGCGCCAAGTTGACCATATCAAAGCTTTGCGGAAACAAATGGAATCAACATACGAAGTCCTTGAAGCTGGCGTGCGATCCAAGTCGTCGAAGCTGACGGACTTCATATCGCAAGTCGGAATGAACCAAGTCGAACGCGGTCAAGCCCTTGGCGATTTGGAGTACCAACTAAAGTGTTTGGCCCACGACCTCCATATGACGGAGCAGACAAAGATGCCTCAACTGCATGCACAATTGCACAAGCAAGTCTCTGACATGGATGGGTCGATTGCGTCGGCAAAATTAACGGCGCTCACGCAACTTCAAGCGGCAAAGCACGAAATGGACGAGAAGATCCAATCCGACGTGTGGGCATCACGGACCTCCATGGTCACAGCGGTTGCGATAGCCTGCCCGTGGATCCTCTTTTGTGGAATCTCCATGTCGTCGCTGGGGTATTTTAGCACCTAACAGTTAATTTACACGGTTTCATTTATTAATACTAGTATCACATTCATTTGATCTGCAAGCGAAATACAAATGTACTAATTTAGTAATGACCTATATTTTGTATTGGGCAAAACTAGTACTACTCGTAGGTAAAACCCACTGAAATTATAATAAATACAATTACTATTTCAATAGTAATTGTATTTATTTACTTTATTACTATTAGAATAGTAATAAAGTACAATGAGTAGATGAATTCACCCCTCCAAATAGATTCTCATCTAAAAGTATCCAATTCCCGAAAGGGCACTCAACACGCGAGTCCTGACACGAGGTGGCCATGGGGAATGTCATCGGGATCAGTCCCAGCGACAACCAGGAAGCCCATCGAGCGGCGTTGATCGATGAGATCGTTCCGTTCGACAACCTTAGCATCCACGAAGTCGAAGTGTTCTGGCGAAACTTCTTCGATCACGCGTCGGGGTTTGCCATGTCCAAGCCAGAGTTCACCACCATGTGCATTAGCGTCGCCTGCCAGCTCAACAAATCGCCCAACCAAATGGCGCATGATGCTGGGGTTCTATTCGATGAGCTGACTCGGGAATCTGACGCCAAGCTGCTGGACGCGCTCGAGTTCCTCGCGAGTATTGTGTTCATCTGCACTGCGCCACTGGACGACAAGATTGACCTCGTGTACGACAGCTGGGATATGTCTGAAGACAGTATGTGTCGTCTCAACACAAAACATCGTTTCTAACCGCCTTGCCATATAGATGGCTTGCAAATCGACGAAGTGGTCATTTCGGTACGTTCTCCATTGTCTATTAGTCTGCAGCGTTGAGTACGGTTTGACTTTGCAGTTGAAATCCACATTGCTCGGGCTCGCGAAAATTATTGTCATCGACGACAAGCACAAGACCATGGACATGCTGGATGACGAGCCCATCAAACGACTGGCCGAGATGGCCTTCCGAGACATGCTGCATGTATCCCCGTCGACCCCCATCTGCAGCGACGACACCATTTCATGCGACGTCTTTCACGCGTACTGTCTCTCCAATGCCGACGTAAAGGACCTATTTGTGTGGTTTGATGCTGTCGAACAAGACAGCAAGCACAATGGCCTTGATCCGTTTGACATTCCCAACCGGTCGCTCAAACAAGTGCTGCAGATGGACCCGGACTCCGCCGTCGAGAAGGACTTGACGCGGCTGACAACAGCCGACCACGGCGACGAATTCTTGGCTGTCAAGCCGTGGGAAGGCGCAATTGTCGCACCCTCCAAAGTACCGCCGTTAGACGCGAGTGCGCCCGTACTAAGTCTGTCGCTGCACTGGATATACGGCTACCACGCCCAAGTAAGAAGTCAGCTGCTGGTTCCCCTTATCCACCCCCTAACTCCATTTACACCATCTCTGCATATTAAGCCCTTTTGATGATCGTAGGACGCCTACGCCCGCAACAATGTGCGGTACTCCAACGCTGGGGAGATTGTGTACACAGCAGCTAGTGTCGGCGTCGTCCTGAACGCCGGTGCGAAGACCCAGCGACACCTCCTGGCTCACACAGACGACGTCTTAAGCATCGCGATGCATCCGTCCAAGGGCATTGCTGCCACGGGCGAGACGGGCAAAACGCCCAAGTTGATTGTGTGGGACATAGCCGCGGTCAAGCCCTTGGTGACGCTGCGGGGGTACCACTCGCGTGGGATCATCCAGCTGGCATTTTCGACGATCGGCAACGAACTGGCGTCCGTGGGGGCGGACGACAACCACAGCATTGGCGTGTACACGACTCGAGATATGTGGCACACGGCTGAGCTCACGTGGTTTGCCAAGGGCAACAAGGCAGTTCCCTTGCACGTGGTGTGGCACCCCACCGACGCCATGCACTTTTGCATCCTCGGGGTCAAGTACATTGAATTTTGGGAAAAAGAAAAGTGCAATAAGGGAATCTTTGGTAAAAAGGGCAAACTGCAGCCGTTGCTCTGTGGCGCCTGGGTCACCCTTGGCACCGACATGACCCTTGTCGTTGGAACGAGCGACGGGGCGCTGTACTTGTTTCAACGCCCCGACCTCCGCTCGATCGTCGAGAACGCGCATGCTGCGGCTGTACAAACCATGTACGCGCAAGACAAGACACTGATCACGGGCGGCAAGGAGGGCCTTGTCAAGCTATGGGTGGCGGAAAAGACGGGGCTTACCTGCCTAAGCACGTTCGACTGCAACGTGTTGCTGCACACAACCGGCGTGGTGGTCCAAAGCGTTTGTCTGTCGTCCGACGGGTCGATGGTTCTGCTCGGCACCCAGTCGTCGGAAATATACGAGCTGAAGTACGTCTACCCAAGTGTCAATAATATATTTCGATTCCTGTTGAATGACGTTGTGATTGATAGCGTCAAGGGAAACACAATGTCGGCGGCGCTCATGTGCGGACACTCGGTGGACGAATTGTGGGGCCTGGCAACTCACCCGACAAAGCAAGAGGCGGCGACGGTCGGGGACGACCGGTGGTTGCGCGTATGGGACCTCGTCACCAGGACTGTCCTGCGCAGCGTCCGGCTCGAGTGCATGGCGCGCGCGGTGGCATACTCACCGGACGGGAAGCTCCTCGCCGTGGGGCTTGGGGGCCAAGTGCCCGGCAAGGACAAAGCCAACAAGCACCCCAAGTGCGGCGGCGTGGTCGTGCTCGTCGAGTCGGACTTGTCCAAGGTGTACGAGCGCAACGACACCAAAAAGTGGATTGCTGACGTCAAATTCAGCCCCACTGGCCGCACGCTCGCGATCGCCAGCCACGACTCGAGCGTTGTCTTGTACGACCTGACCAAGCAATGCGCCAAGAAACACGCGTTCAAAAAGCACAGCAGCTTCGTGTCGCACGTGGATTTCTCTGCCGATGGGTCCTTCCTGCAGGTAGGTTTGTCTTCATATGTACCACCATGTATTTTCATACACTGAGAAATGATATGATGTCACAAAAATGATATGTCCGTGGGACTTATGATATTTTAAGGCGAAGTTAGTACTACCTGACTTGCCCACGAAAAAAATGATATATAGTCAAATGATATGTCAAGATATACAAAAGTGATATGTTTGTTTGGACGACGGTTCGAGTTTGACACTCGTGGTTGTGCTGATAGAGCATTTCTGGGGCGTACGAACTGCTGTACTGCGACGTCAAATCTGGCAAACAAGTGACCAGCGCGTCGGCGTTCAAGGACGAGCAGTGGGCCACGTGGACGTGCATCTTGGGGTGGCCAGTACAGGGCATGTGGCAGCCAGAGGCCGACGGGTCCGACATTAACGCCGTCGACCGGTCGCACTCGGGGTCGTTGCTCGCCACCGCCGACGACTTTGGCAAGGTACGGCCTTGTTGCTCACTTGTAGGATGTTGTGGAGAATATCGTTCTCGAGTACTATGCACTGGATTTTTAGGTCAAGGTGTTTCGGTACCCGTGTGTGCACAAACACGCTGGGTTTGTGGATTTCCTCGGCCACTCGTCGCATGTGACCAACGTCCGGTGGTCTGCCGGTGACCGGTTTCTCCTGTCCACGGGTGGACAAGACCGGTGTTTGTTTCAGTGGCGACACGACTCGGCCGTCAAGCAGCCCACGTCTCCTCTCCAACACTCGTCAAACACCACCAACCACCACCACGTGTCACATGAACTGTCCACTGATGACGACGACGACGTGGAATTCCAAGTCGCCGGGGATGAATTCATGGCTGTTAAGCCGTGGGTTGGCGCCATCGTCCCGCCATCCGTCTTGCCCATGGTAGACAACGCCCAACCTCCTGCCACGACCTTGGCGTTGCAACACGTCCACGGGTATAGATGAGTCATTCGTATTTCTTGAATAAATGAAGTAAATGAATAAGTGTTCTAGGTATCAAGGCCAGAACGCACTCAACAATGTGCGGTACATGGAAGCGAATCGGATAGTGTATCATGCCGCAGCGCTGGGGATCGTGTTTGACGCTAGCAACAACTCGCAACAGTTTTTCCAAGTTGAAATTATATCCTGACAATATATATATCTACCTGTCTTTGCACTTTTTAACGATATATATATGTAGGAGCACGACGATGACATTGTCGGGCTCGCTTTGCATCCAAATCGAAAGACGGTGGCCACAGGACAAATGGGCAAAGTGCCCAAGATCCACGTGTGGGAGCTCGGGTCGAGGGGGAAATACGTGAGCTTGGCGTGCCTCCAAGGTTTCCACAAGCGCGCAGTTCCTGTCCTTAGCTTTTCCACGGTATACATATATATATAAATATACAGTATATATAAAATTCATATATTGGGTTTCAGACTGTTTATGAAACCGAGTGTTTTGTATGAATAGGACGGCACGACGTTGGCGTCGATGGGAAACGACGATGACCACAGCATTGCCATTTACAAATGGAAGGAAGGCGTGCTGGTAGCGTCCTCCAAGGGCGTTCGAAACACGGTACAATTCTATCAATAAAATATCACATATCCTTGTTCAAGTCCTATTTAAATATTTAATACATATATATATATACACCTACGAAACCAAATTTATATATTTATGACATAGTTGATGCATTTGACCCATTATGCCGCGACGAATGAATGGATCTCGTTGGGGGACAAGACCATTACATTTTGGGCCGAACAAGGTCGGAACCTCAATGGGAAGAAGGCCATTTTGGGTAAAAATACTCCGACCCAGGTATTTTACTGCGCGATTGCCGTGCCCACAACTGGCAAACCGTCGTCCAAGCTGATTGTGGGGGCCCACGACGGGTCGCTGTACGTTCTGGACGACAAAAACGTGTCCAGAGTGCTCAAAGCTCACACCGGCCCAGCGTACGCCCTGTTTGCCTCTCGTAAGTCTTCTGCCTACTTTGGTGTTTTCTCAAGTAAGTTCAACATGGAAACATTTCAACGGTTGTTTGTTGTGTAGCCACCAAGGCCGAATGGATCAGTGGCGGAAAAGACGGCAAAGTGATCGTATGGGATGCCAATCTAAGTGCATTGCACAGCTTTGACATTGCCATCCCGTTGACCAAACTGTTCAACTTATTACCCCCGGACGCGTCCAAGAAAGGAGGCGCTGCCACGTCATCGTCGTTGTTTGGCGTGCGCAGCGTGTGCTTCAACTCGGAGCACACGCGGATTCTGCTGGGAACGTCTGGCAGCGATGTCGTGCAATTCGATCGCATGGGAACCAAAGCCACCGTTGTCACGCAGGGCCATTGCCAGGACGAGGTAATAACTTACTCCCCCCTCACTCACTAAAAGAAACTTCACATGGTGCGATGTCGTAGCTATGGGGGCTGGCAGTGCACCCTGCCAAGCCCGAGTATTGCACCGTGGGCGACGACAAGACGCTTCGGGTGTGGAGCACGGAGCATCGGCTTCAGCTGCGGGTCAAATCGTTGGAATGTGTCGCCCGGGCGTGTGCGTATTCGAACGCTGCGCCGTTTTGCATCGCGGTGGGATTCGGTGGTCGCATCGGCAAGAGGAAGAAGCATGTGAAGGAGGGGGGCGTGGTGGTATTTTCAGCGGATTCGCTGGAGATTGTGTTTGAAGACAAGCCGTCCAAGGAGTGGATCTCTGAGATAAAGTTTTCCCCCAACAATGCGACGCTGGCAGTGGGCAGCCACGACAATGCCATCTACTTGTACGCCATCCGCGACAATCGCTTCACCAAAGTGACCAAAGTATTTCGAGGCCACAACAGCTATATCACACACTTGGACTTTTCCACCGACGGCAAGTACCTCCAGAGCAACTGCGGCGCGTACGAGCTCCTGTTTTCCGACGCCAATACCGGCAAACAAGTCACGTCTGCGCGGAGCCTTCGCGACGTGCAGTGGCACACGTGGACGTGTGCGTTGGGTTGGCCGGTCCAGGGTATCTGGCCCGCGTGCGCCGACGGCACAGACATCAACGCCGTCCACCGGTGTCATTCGGGGGAGTTGGTGGCTACGGGGGACGACTTTGGCCAGGTCAAGCTGTTCCGGTACCCCGCCGTCGCCAAACACAGTGTCTCATATTCGTACGCTGGGCACTCGTCTCATGTGACAAACGTCCGGTGGCTCGGAAATGATACACACGTGATCACCACTGGCGGACTGGATCGAACGATCATGCAGTGGAAACATGTTCAGGTCGAGGGTCAGGCAGATGACAATAGGAACGACAAAACTCCATTGGTCTCCCCGTCCAAACCAGTATTAGCGACTCGAGACGAGGACCCTGACGAGGTATGCATCCGTACTAGTATGGAATTTGGCAGAAAATATATATGTATATATGAAGAAAGATTCACATATTGACACCTCTAGGACGACGACGATGGCAAGCCATCGACCTATCATCATGCTGGGACCAAGAAGGACACTTTAGAAACTGTCATGTTTGGCGCGGACGCGGGGGATGAGTTTATGGCAGTCAAGCCGTGGATAGGGGCGATCGCAGCGCCGAGTAACCCGCCCAAAGAGAACCCCCGCGAACCAGAGCTCACCATGCGACTGGAATGGTACAGGAGGATGCCACGTCATTCATTCGGTCTGACGGGCATGGGGGTAGGGTGTTTGGCTACCAAACGGAACTGTCCCGCAACAACTTGCGATACAACGCCGACGGTCAGATTGTGTACCATGCAGCGGCCGTGGGCATTGTATATGACCGAGACACCAACACCCAAAAGGTAAGAAAGGGCGGAGCTCACATTGGCGTATATTAACAAGGGACGGGATGCGCAGCATCATGTAGGCCACTCGGATGACATTTTGTGCATGGCCATGTCTCCGTCGGGGCGGTTTGTAGCAACGGGGGAGCGCGGGAAGAAACCATCGGTAAGGTTGTCCAAGTCGTCGCTCGCGCCAGTGTGCAGTTGATTCCATCTTGCCGTTGTTGTTTTCTAATGTTTCCAAAGTTGGTTGTTGATTGAGCTCGTTTTCAAAATGGTTGAAACAGCGTTGGGTTGTCCATAAGAAAAGGGTGAAGTTGACCCTTTGGTGCGTGTGTTGATGTGGCTCGTAGATTCGCGTGTGGGATGCCAAGTCTGGCGCGACGTTGTGCGTGCTCACGGGGTTCCATGCCCGAGGGGTAGTGAGTGTGACGTTCAGCCACGACGAAAAGACCATCGCGAGCGTTGGCGACGACGACGACCACAGCTTGGCGATATGGGAAGACAAGGGCGGGGCGTGGAGCAATGGGCGGCTCGTGACAACATCGAAAGGCGATAAGAACGTCAACTTGTTTGCGATTGCATTGCCTCGGCAGGCATTCGTCACGGGCGGCGTCAAGCACATTCTGTTTTGGACGTTGCAGGGGAAAACCGTGTCGCATGTGAAAGGTCAATTTGGCAAACTTGCGACGCAGCAACCGCTGCTGTGCGCGTGCAGCTTTTACGACCAGACGACGCTCACTGGGGCCGACAACGGGGACTTGTACCATTGGACGGGCCACACTGTGACAAAGAGCGTCAAGGCGCACGACGGGTCGCTCTCGGCGCTCTTCTCGGTGCTCCAGCCCGACAAATCGTACACGGTCGTTTCGGGTGGAAAGGACGGCAAAGTGTGTGTGTGGAACCAGTCGCTGCAGCAAACGAGTTCGTTTTCCATCGACGCGAGTGGGAACTTGAGCAGCGTTCGGGCGAAAACCATCAAAAGCGTGGCGTTGGACTCGACGTTCAAGAAAATTCTCGTGGGGACACTCAGCAGCGACGCATTCGAGGTCGAAGTGGGCACGGGGGCGCTTCTCAAAACCGTCGCGGGGGGGCACTTTATGGGGGAGACGTGGGGGCTGGCCGTGCACCCGTTGGACCCGACGGCGTTTGTCACTGTCGGCGATGACAAGATCGCCCGCATGTACGACCGCCAAGCCAAGACGTCCGTAGTGCTGATGGAACTGGAGGACATGGCGCGTGCGATTGCATTTTCGCCCCATGGAACGATGCTCGCCATTGGATACGGGGGCGACGTGGGGCGAGGCAAGAAAAAAGGCGGTAAAGTCGGGGCCATCGGGTTTTACGAACATCCGTCGACGACGATCGTGTTTGAAGACCATCCGTCCAAAGCTGCAATCAGGTACGCCCACCCGACGTTGAAAGGTAGTAGTGATACATGGGAGTGTAGTGACGTCAAGTTTAACGCGTCGGGGACGATGGCGGCGTTCGGCTCCCACGACTCGAAGATCTATCTCTATGCAATTGACGCCGCCTCTGGAGGGATTCACAAACACAAGGTATTTGATGCACACAAGAGTTCCATCACACACGTAGACTTTTCACGCGATGGCAAGTACTTGCAGGTACAGTACACAACCCATGAAACCCATTGGTTCATAACGTTATATTGGTGTGAATCTCAACTTTTGGTAGTCCAATTGCAGCGGGTACGAGCTGCTCTTTTGCGACACTACGACCGGCAAGCAAATGAAGTCGGCGCGCGCGCTCAAGGACGTGGTGTGGGACACATGGACGTGTGTCCTGGGGTGGCCAGTGCAGGGCATTTGGCCCGAGTTTGCCGATGGCACGGACGTAAATGCCACGTGCGCGTCCACGTCACGCACGTTTGTGGCCACGGGCGACGACAGTTCAAACGTCAAAGTGTTTCGATATCCATGCTTGACCAAAGGCGTACGTATTCCTCACTATGAATGTATAGTCGCCAACTTTCAAACTACTAGTGTGAAGTTATCGTCTCACATTTCACATCAACTAGTATTAACTATCACATGACTTTTCGTAGGCCAAGTGGATTGCAGGACAAGGGCACTGCTCCCATGTGACAAACGTACGGTTCACGCAGGACGACAAGTACATTGTGTCCACTGGGGGAAACGACCGAACGACTATGATGTGGCGATTGTCCGATTGAGTAATTCGAAGATAGTTTGGCGAATAAAATATTAGTATGCCTGGAGCACTTTGCCGTACTGTATCGATGTCAACCTTTTGCATGGGAGTGTTTACTAGTCGGTCTTGCCCTCACAAGCCGCACCCGTTATGATTAGCCACTTTACCTCTTTCAAGATCACACACACTTTCTATTACGACATCCACACATTCACGCATTTCTTTCGGGCCATGTTGTTAGGGGGCGTGTACGTTCACACTGAGTACCCGCCCTCTTCGCACGTCGTACTCGAATATGCACTGGAGCTTCTGCTTCGGCAGGTCAGGCTTCGCGGGGGCGTCGATGTCACGAACGGCAGGGGGTACCACTCTTCGTTGGTCGACACCCTCACGTGCGTGTTGAGCGTGTCGATGGCGGCATGCAGCTCCATCGGCATGTACACGTGTCGCAGCTGGCGCTGCAGCCGCCGGTTGGACCGCGCGTGTTTCTGGATGGTTTGGATGGCCAAGAGAGCCAGGGTCGATGGGGTATATCGCATCGAGTACCGAAATACGTCGCTGTTTCGCTCATCGCCGTTGGACCCGCCAAACACAAACATGCAGTCGCCCGAGATCGCGCTCGTGTGAAAGTCCCTTGCGTCCGGCGCGTTGCTGTCGTCGTTCTACAGCCACATATATATAAGGCCCTGGACTACATCGTCATCCTACCTGGCGAGACCACGTCGACGTGGCCACGTCAAAGCAACTCAGCTCGTTCAATCGCATGCCGGTTTCATCGCGCCCGCCAAACAGCTGAAACTGCGGACACGGTCCCGACGGATACACGGACACGGTGTGTGCGATGCGTGAGCATGGTATATCGCCGCGGCAGACGACGGCACTCCACGTGGAGGTGATTGTGTCGAACTTATGCATGTCAATCGACCCCTTGGGCGGGTCGTACAGCCCCCCGCCGACAATGTACATGTCGGTGCCCACAACCACTGCTTGGTGCTTGTATCGAGGGGACGGTTTCACGCCGTGGGTGGGCAGCAGCGCCCACGACAGCTGCACTTCGTCGAACACGTACAGGTCGTTCACGTACACATGGCCAGAGGTGCCGCCAAAGAGATACAGTTTGTGGCGGATGGACACGAGGCTCTGACCGTACCCCGGCGGCGGATGCGTGCCCGTGGTGGCCACGATGCTCCATTCCTGTGACAGGAGCGAGTACTGCAGCAGTTTGCCCATGTTCGTTTGGCCCCAGTGGGGACCGCTGCCGCCAAACAAGTACAGTTTCGTGTCGTCCGTGGCGCCGCACCACGCGTGGGAGGCCCTGCCATCTAAAGGCAAACGGTGAGAGACTAGAGGGGGACATTGTGTGTGCGACGTGGTACCAGGAACGATGCCGCCGCGGTTGTCGAGTTTGGTCCAGTGGTGATGCACAAGGTTGAACGCGTACAAGTCAAAGTGGCAATTGCCTTCGTTGTATCCACCAAACACGTACATGACTCCGTTCACTGCGCATCGACATGAGGATCGCGGAAGGATGAGGAAGAATTTCTACCAACGATAGAATCGTGACGTACCCACGACAGAAGCATGGCCACTTCGAACAGGTGGCTTTGTGCCAGACACTTGGAGCTTTGTCCAGTCCGTTTCTACACACACCACATGTCGGTGACGGCGTGGCCTTGGTAGCAGTCGTCGAGGATGGAGCTAGGCAAGGTGTACCTTCCACTGACTCTGGGTTGTCGTCGTCGTCGTCGCTGTGGCCATAGCTAAAGCTAAAGCCTAGTCGACGTGCGAGGCTCGACTGGGCCCACCGTGGGCTGTTCTTGATAAGCTTGAGCAAGTCGTCGAACATGGTGGTGGCTTGTTGGATCGTGTCGTCGTTGGTTTTCTCTGGTGTTTCGATCAGTTACAGCAGTCCTGGAAATATTACCCAATCACATGCCGGCAATCTGGTCGCCCCAGGCAGGAGTTTCGTCCCTCGCTAATGTTGTCCTTTAAGCGGAAGTGGTTCTTAAGCCAAGGGGGGACGGCGACTCGCGCGTCCTCGTCGCGGGGCTTGAGCAGACCCAGTGAATTGAGACGCAACTGCAGGAACCACCTGCATCATACCGGTACTGTATGTCCATGCAGAGTTCGGTCGACGCTGAAGTTGGGATATGAAGAATCCATTCCCATTGGTCCATTTCCCCTGATACAGATAGGCGCAAATTGCGATCTTCAGGGTTTGCGGCCGGCCTCCTACCGTAGTGCTGCCATACATCGAGAGACATCGTCATGCAAACTGCGTCAGGCACTCCAGACCATGGGCTTGAACAGAGCCAGACCATTGCCCTAGTAGCATCACCCTCAAGGTGAAGGAGCCGAAGAGCTTACAGTAGTTTACGGTAATTGGTTAAAATTGACGCATTGGCGTTTTATGATTGGTCCAATGAATTATATTATTGGAAACGGATTGGCTATTTGATGGCATTTTCAAATGAACGCGCTTCACCTCGCCGACGTCAACGGCACCACTGGCGCGCCAGTCTTGGACGCCGACGAGCATGTCCTTGCGACGTTTTTGAATGTGCGCATGTACACCAACACGTATGGTTCCAACGATGATGACGATGCATCCCCGTCCATGGAATCCAAAGGCACAGGAAACCTCTACGTCACATCGGCGTACGTTGGAAGTGCGAGGATGCATCATGCTTGAGCGAGTGGTTGTAGGCGAGTGGCGTGGATCTTTGGCCAAGAATCGGAAGGGGTCGTGGGATACGCATGGGATATGACATTCTTGTCGTTGCATGCGATTTCACGTGACACCAGCAGCTTCCCCGAGCCATGTCTCTATTGCCAAGTGCGACCGTTTCCACTCCTCGTTGTTTCCTGACCCATTCCGCCTTGTTCTAGTTGGACGTGGACGACGAAGTCAACGAGATTCGCTTCGTGCCGTGCGACGTCGACAAGCAGCGTACGACGACGAATCCCTCCAATCTTCCACGTCGATCATCCGTTGCATGTTGATGTAGTCCAAGCGATGTTCGATGCGTTTTCCGCGTCCGCCGCACTCAACCCTGACGACGACGATGGTGCGTCCATATGTCATTGACCTTTACATCCACGTGTTTTCTCAATTCGAACTGAACTGTGCAGACGACGAACCTCAAGGAGGGGACTGGATCTACAACGAGGACGAAGTCGTGAATGGCGCCCGCGAGGTATATCGTCTCCCCGCCTCCTTCTCCCTACACTCCCGACACAAAGTTTCACCTTGCTTGTTCTGCAGGCCAATCTAGCGGCGCACTTCGATTCCATCTTGCAAGTCGTGCCGTCGCTGGACGCCAACGTCGCGGGGCAGTTCGACGACGCATCAGACGACGAGTCGCTTCTGTAATGCCAGAACCATCTTCGTGCAGCCCAACAATCACACAAGAATACGCATGTGATCGATGTACAGAGTTTGGTTGCTCCCAAAGCATCTGAAGTCGTCCTTTGGACTGTGTTGAGGCAGTTTGGGACTAGTTTGTCGTTGTAGCGGTTCTATAGTGCCTTACTACTAACAGTACATTTACGTAGTATTGGTTTTAGGGGATATTATAGTCCTTTGACCCAAAATTTACTGTTAAATCGATCCATCGCCAAATCTATCGATCGAAACAAGGTGGTTCGTATCACACTAATTGAGGTAACACACTAATTCGACGTTGATGCTCCGGCCGGAAATAAACCAGCCATTTCATTCTTGGAGGTTTTTTCAGAATTTACCGGAATAAATTATGTTATAGAGACGAAATACATGTATCCGGATATCTGTCACGATTTGATACTGATTATATTAAACACCTGCAGTAATTTATATTCTGTACAAAACATAGTTGAAATTATTGCTGACTATTGGTTGATGCAGGTAGAATGGGGATACTGGCCATACTAAGACGTATACAACAAGCATACTTAGGGCATAACCAGATAACCAAACACCAATTTTATCAATTTTCACCAAAGGGCTGGTTTATTTCCGGCCGGAGGTAACGTTAGTACTTTGGTTGGTTATTCTCCATGTTACTCCAGTTTAGAATAATTTACACAACAATATATACATTACGAATAGACTATTGGTGAACGCTGATGTCGCAATTGAACATCTCTCGAACATTTATCGATACTGTAGTTACAAGAACTAACTGCTACAAAATAGTACCAAATACTAGTATGTACTTGTATATTTTTTTGAATTGTTTTGAATTTATTTTGAATTTATTAATAACTTTGAGTACTTTACATTTACTAGTAGTGTTAATAGTACATATTACTACTACGTAGTACATGCCTGTGAACGGATCACACTTGCAACAAGAAGCCGACGATTCATTTGATGTTTAGATGGGTTATGACTTGCCCCAAATGCAGCCATCCGTCCTCCTTATACCTTGTGAATCATGTTTTCTTTGTTGATCAGATGGCACGTGGTCTCGACGAGGCGGAGCAACTCGGAGATGTCAGTGGACCAGTTCGTGAGCAACTCTTCGGGGCTTTGGGTCTTGTGGAACGAGATGATTTTGGCCGGGCGGTCAATCTTGGCGTACACGGACCCGTTGCTCACCAACGCCGAGATGCGCGACTCGGTCAACTACACCACGAGAAAAAAACACACAACTGTTTGCATTCCAGTATATTTCGATAACAATATTAATATAACAAATATAACAAACGTCATGACCAATCCGTACACATAACGATGATGCAGTTATATAAATGGTATATATTTGGGCTCGATATATATATATAAACGAGCCCGAAACATACACAACGTTTGTACATATATATATAAATATATTTCATATACATATATATATACATACAACTTCACAAGCAAGGACGAGAGAACCACAGAAAACCAGAACCAAACGTACCTCTTCCGACAACCCAATGATGTCGGCCAAGTGCGGCAGCCGAATGCGTTGATAATGCTCGGCCACGACGCGGATGTTGTGCTCAGTCGTGCGCGTGTGCACGTCTTCCAACCATTGCGCGCCCCGCACGGGGTCCTGGAAGATAGGGCTGCTCGCGGCCACGTCCCAGCCCGGGATGGGCAGCGGGAACGGGATGACTTCTTTGGTCGTGAACAGCTTCATGAGCGTGTCGAACGCCGGCAAGTCCAGGCGCAACGGTTCGCGCGCGAGGCGGTGGAGCATGTCCTGCTGCAAGTTGGAATGAGGCGAGATGACCGCAAAGAGCATCGCGTGCTGCAACGCGTCCGACTTCTCGGCGGGCGTGAGAGTCTTGGTCGAAAAGATGGATTGGTAGTGGCGACACAGCTCGAGCGGGTTGTTCTCGTGCGTGTCGTACTCGATCATGAGCTTGTAAAACTTGATCTTGGCCGCTTCAAAGTTGTCTTCTTCCAACACGCGACGCAAGATCTTCTTGCTCAGGATGTACGCGCGCACGTAATCCTTCTTGGCTAGTGTCAAGCGCACCTGTTCCAAGATGAACTCGGCCTTCTCCAACTTGGTCATCGCGCCATACGTTTCCACATGCACTTCCTGGAGAATGTCCGCGGCTTCGCTGATCAACCCGTTCTTTTCCTTGATCTGACTCAGCCACTGTGTCAATTGCGCGCGCTCCTTCTCCAAGAAGATGCGACCGTCCGCCACCGTCCGAAGCGCTTGGATCAGCTGCACGCGCAACTCCTCCGTCGGCGCGTCTGGGATGAACGCAATGGCAGTCGTGACGATCTTGCCGATAGCTTGACTCTTCTGGGCCCGTCGTTTGCACAGAAGCGTCACATGCTCGATGAGCAGCGTGAATTGCTTGTGCGCATGCAACAACGTCAACACTTCCACGACCAACGTTGTGAGCGACGCCAAGTCGTTGTGCAGACGGCTTAACTTCTCCAATGCCAAGAGGGCCTCAATCGCGCCGGCGAGGTCGCCCGACGCGGCTTGGGCGCGCGCTTTCGGGATCAACGCCGCCGTTTCCGCGGCGTGGTCGCCCTTCTTCAACCCTTCTTCCATCGCACTTGGAGTATTTCTGGCCCCTCTTTGGATATTGTATCCGAGTATATATTGTCACAGGTAAATCAACACGCATTCATTTTTACAGGATGACATATTTTCTTGAACAACAATGCCGCCGCGAGTACTCATCGTGCCGGGCAATGGGTGTACCCCCATTGAACAATGCAACTGGTATGCATGGTTGGCCAACGAACTTCGAGAGCGTGGATGCGAAGTACGTGGCGCCACACCAAACTCCATGGTATAATGACCTGTGTAGGTAGTCTTGACGTCGATGCCAGACCCACACCGTGCACGTGAGTCCATCTGGCTTCCTTTCATTCGCGACGTTATGAAATGCGATCGAGACACTGTAACATGCTTGTAGCTACATATTCCACGTAACACATACATTGCGTAGGTGGTTGTCGGGCACAGTTCAGGAGCGGAAGCAGCGATGCGGTTAGCTGAATCGACTGAATTCCTTGGTACATTTGATCTCACTTACGCTATAATATATAGTCCTTTGGTTGATAATCCGAGTAGGCATGCTTCTGGTATCTGCATGCGTGACAGATCTAGGTAGTACGCCCTCTACTGCATTTTGCTTGTCACCGAAGGCGTTTCTTAGGAGACGCCAGCGAGCGGGCTTCAGGGTACTACAATCGTCCGTGGAAATACGAGAAAATGAAGGCCAATGTAAAGTGGATCGTCCAGTTTGGGGCGCCAGGTGCGTTGAACATGGCCAAGTGATGGTAACTACTCATGAAAGATGGACAGACGACCGCTTCATTCCTGCGTCGGAACAAGAGCAAGTGGCGGATGGGTTGAACTCCGAGTTCCATTTCATCGATGGTACCATACCACACTTGCCGCCATGAGCTTACCGACGTGGCTCTAGGCAAAGATCATTACATGACGGAGGACGAGCCATTGATCTTGGACGTGCTCGTGGACAAGTTGCACCTGTGATTTGCGATTGTCAGAAGTTCATTCGGATTGGACGTAATTAAGTAATATTAATAGCCAATCCGATTCCGTCGTGAACACATGCAAACATTGGCAGCAATGTTTCATTTGGTCGAGAAGTACTGGTACTTATGGCTCACAAAAGAGTTGCGTCGAAGAGGGTTCGAGGTACTGTGTCGGTGCATGTAGTACTTAGTTGGCCAGGGAGTACAGTACTGTGGGAGTCCGCATATCTTTATTCGTTCGCGGCATTATGAAATGCGACGAGCACACTTTCTGTACAGTGCTATAAAGGATATAGGACGAACGGTTTGATTCATCTGCATTCTCGTTAGGGTAGCATCAACCGTGGCGTGCAGGCTGCCACGCGGCTGGCAGAGCACACCAAATTCTTGGATGGGCTGCGAGCTACTCATTAGACAACCTGCTCACCGTGGTTCCTGACTCGATCAGTTAGGATTGGTCCTCGTTTTGCTTGTGTGACTGACCTCGGTACATCCATTTCCTAGCCGTAGAATGCCACGCCAGTCCCGATGTACTGGCAGTGCAGGCGTCGACAATGAACGCGCTCCTGTACATGTACAATTGGCCTTGAGATTACGAACATATGAATGCCAATGTGCAGTGGGTCATTCAATTTGGCTCTCCAGGACCTTAACACTCGTTGCCCTTGGTATTCAATAGTATTATTTCTCCATGTAACGTTAGACGATCCTTTCTAGCCGGCAGTGGAACACCAATACCTTCCAGGGACCGAAGAACTTGGTGTAAATGACCTTGAAATCTTGAATCATACCCACACATTCGCTTGCTGCGACAGAGTATGGTCACTACATGACCCCACAAGCCACCGTTGTGATGGACGCGATCCTGAAATTGATGCAAGTCTCGTTGGAGCAACCCATCTGAACGTGAGTTTGAAACCTAACGACGCCTGCATGTTGCTTGATTGTGAATACAATTTGATCCTTGAATAATAGTCCGGAGTGGAGTTTGAGAGTGATATTATGACGTGGCAAATTGATAGAACTGGGGTCATGATTGTTGGAACAGTTGTAAATAAGATTTTACGGGATAGAGAATAAATGAATTATATTATAGAGGTTCGGTCACCTCCATAGAATTATTGACCCATGGCGGACTCCCGACCCCAAGCGCGAGGCGGCATGGTCATTGGAGCCGTGCGCCCGGGATTGGGTCGAAAGACGGCAGATCCAGCAAACGCGACGTGCCAAAAGTGCTTAAAGAAGGGCCATTGGACGTTCGAGTGCCAGGGCAAAGCAGCGTACGTCAGACGACCGAGCCGCTCCAAACAACTGGCCAACCCAAAATTGCGGCAGCCGTTCAATACGGACAAGCCGCCTGAGCGAAGCGTGTATGAGGGCGGAGACAAGCAAGCCGAGGATGGCAAACCCGAAAAGAAAGTTTCCAAGAAGCGAAAGGACGACGACTCATCTTCGTCATCGTCGTCGAGCTCGTCCGACTCGAGTTCGTCGAGTTCATCAAGTTCGTCCAGTTCGTCGGACTCATCATCCAGCTCAGAGAGCGAAGACGAAAGACCCCGAAAGAAGCAAAAAGATTAGGCCCCACCACATAAGCTCTAGGCATCATGAATTACTTAGCCCACCTGCCTCTCGGTTATCGGTGCAAAGCACGCCAATTTCCGCATGTGTAGCTGGTATGCAGCTTTACTACTAACAGTTAATACGCCATGTTGCTGTGGGGTACGATGTCGTTCAAGGCGGGCAAGGCAAGTCGTCGTAAATTGACATGATGCCACCAAACTGCATCGGCATTTCCAAAGTAACGTTTTGGATTTTACTTGTGGACATAAACCTCTTATAAAGCATCCCTCTAAACACCTATATAATTGAATACTACTTTGATTATACCGTATATGGATTTTAGACCTTCAATAAGGTATAAGGATTGAATTTGAATATGTGATAGATTTCAACCACTTTTTCTCGGTTTTCCTGTACAAACTAATACCCAAATCCAAGTGTGTGGGGTCATTATTGCGAGAAAGAAGCCCAAGCCGATCTTACCATGGCGCAACGAACACAATCCCCCATCGTGACGGGCACGTCCGTAATTGCCGTCAAGTACCGCGGCGGAGTTCTCATGGCGGCAGATACTTTGGGTTCGTACGGATCCCTTGCTCGCTTTACGGACAACAGACGCATCGTGTCGGTGCACAACTCGACGTTGGTCGGTGCCGGCGGAGAGCTGAGCGACTTCCAGTTCCTCACGGACCACCTGGACGCGATGGCTGTGACTGACTTTAACCTCGACGACAAGTGCGATTTGACTGCCCCCGAAATCTACCACTACTTGCAGCGTGTATTGTATCACCGCCGCAACAAGTTCGACCCCTTGTGGAACACGCTCTTGATTGCCGGCATGGACAAAAACGAGCCGTTCCTCGGCCAAGTCACATTGATCGGATGTGCGTTCACAGGAGACTTCCTTGCTACGGGCTTTGGGCATCACTTGGCGACCCCCATCTTGCGCAACGAGTGGCACGCGGATTTGACCGAAGACCAAGCGCGTCAGCTTTTGGAGAAGGTCATGAAGGTGTGCTACTACCGCGATTGCCGCACGATCAACCGAATTGTCATTGCGCGCGTGAATGCGCAGGGCACGGTGTTGTCCGAGCCGTTTGCCGTCGACACCAAGTGGGACTACGCTTCGTTCGTCAAGCCCAAGTCTGGCACGGGCAGTTCGTGGTAGAGACCCCCGCCCCCCTCAATATACACCGACAACAACAACGAAGCCTACAGGCTATGGATATGATTCCAGGGATTCTCTTTTTCATTGGAATTAATAAACAAGTGTGGGTTCGACTGGTAATGCGTTGGTTTATGTACTATGGTCGAGCCCAAGAGGTGGATTCACCAGACCTCGATAGACCACGGCCGCCGACGACGCGCGCCGCCGTTGCACGATCGCGCGCTCCATCATGCGTTGCAGCTCGTCAAAGTTGTCTGCCTTCAACGACTCGCATTGCAGGAGGGTTTCCGTGAGCAGCAACACCAGCGCGCTGTGCATTTCGTCTTGGCGCCGCAGCCAGTCCTCGAGCTCGTCGTTGTACACGGACTCGGTCACGTCTGTGGTGCAGTGCATGGGCGCTTCTGGTAGCTTTAGATGCGGCGCCACGTCACCTTCTTCAAACACGCGCTGGTTGTCGCGGAACTGTTCGGCCGAAGTTGGAGACGTGACAATCTTGGGGTTCGATCGGAAGAACAGCTCCATCGGCCGAGGCGCAGTCAACAAGATGTCCTTGACTTGGTCGCAAGGCAACAGCTCCACGTCGTGGTGGTTGATGAACACCAACATATCGCCTAATCGAGCATTGCCAATACCTGTGGTGAAGCACTGGGCAGACTGTTCCAAGCTTGAGATCTGAAACCCGCGGCGATCCTTGGTGAAATTGTTCAATGAAATGCCCAAGTCTCCGTGTGTCCACTTGACGGAATAGTCATGTCGATGGTGATGCGATGATTGCCTAGGTTGCTCCGACGGTACGGGTATGCCTGCTGGGGGCACGATGTCCAGACGGATGCGGGACGCCATGGGCTTTCCTTGACGACTTCGTGGAACGGTGGCTGGTTTCTTGAAACTCTCGCTGAATCTGAACGATTGCCGCTCTTTGCCAGGAAGGTCATCGTGTGAAGAAACTGTGGTCGAAGTAGAACGAGGGTGGAATGAAGCAGTGGTCGTGTCAAACACATTCGCCCGCCATGACGACGAACGGTTTACGCTTTCGCGAAAGTGGAACGCACTGCTATCCTTTGCCGTGAAGGTACTTGGGCGGTCCGTGTCATTCAACCACAAACTTTGGCGCGAATCCACCCCCCCACCTGCGCTATCGTCGTCTTCGTCGTCCGACGTGGAATCGGTCTGATTGCTCATCGAACTCGACGTCACCTTGAGAGAATCGTACATCTTTGTGTTCGTTTCCATGAGAGTCACCATTTGCTTCATGCGGGTGACGAGCTCTGGCAAATTGGTCGAGAACTGCTCCATCATCACCCCGAGGCAATCGTCATCATGAAGCTGATTGTCCGCGGAGAGCACGTCAAAGGGAATGATGGGTTCCAGGTTTGCCAGCGTGTCCTTCATCTCGCCAGACAGACGAAGAATCACTTCGTCCACACTTGCCATGATGCTCCCGCGATTCCACGGAACGCGCGCTGTTCAAATCCACGTCTAACGTTACGCTCGACTCGATTTTAGAATTGTGAGCTACATGAGGGGGGGTATTAAAAATGAGTTCCATTTAGGTACGACATCGACATAGCTTCATCTTTGTAGCTTTGCATAAAGTACGAGTTTTGACGTAGCCACTTAATTCGCATATATTTCATAATATTTAAAATACAGCAATGACCCCAATACTTGAATGAAATAAAACAAGGCATTGATATTGTATAACTATTTGTTTCTTTCGAATGTGGGGGGGCTCTCAATTTCATACTGTACCACATGATATATTTGTTACTATTCATAGTACGTTACTTCGAAGTACTAGTATACTATAGAAGCAGCAGGACGCACATACGGATCCGGATAGAATTGGGTATACTCACTCACAGTCAGTTGGATTATTGGGGATTATGGAATGTCAATACGCAATGCTGCACTTGGCACTTACACATAGGTACTGCTATACGTATACCGGTACATACCTAGGTCAAGACCAAATGAGGTGTGTTCTCAGTACCAGGAAAAAGCCAAGGCTACATCATCCCAAATCTCTCACACCTTTGTCCAACAACACACACAACCACAGAAAGCAGAAGATGACCTCGCGTAAGCCTTGGTCATCATGTCGCATGACACAGATTCAATGTTCCTAACGTTACTGTACCACCATATATATATTCCATCTATGATGTGATTGTGCCAGTCAAAAAAGTAGCAGGGCCACGAGCTACATACAGTCCGCCCAAAAAAAGCGCACCCAATTGTTTCGAAACTTTATGAGAAATATTTCAAATCTTTTCTGTACCTGTCTCTTTGATACCATTTCACCAA